ATTTCACATTTGGAAACCATCACTGGTAACCAGATATATGCAAGGAGTATTTGTAAATAGATCAGCACTACCACGTTATAAACAGATCTGGGATGTGTCTGTGGTTATAAAATATCTAAAATCTTTGGGTGAGAATACACAACTCTCCCTACAAGATCTGACTATGAAGACAACCATGCTGCTTGCCCTTGTTACTGGACAGCGTTGCCAGACCATACAGGTCTTGAACATTGAACAGATGGTTAAGAGCGATGACATATGGTCCTCTCATATAAATAAAATGTTAAAAACCTCTCGACCTGGAAAGCACTTTGGAAAGATTGAGATCAAAGCTTTTACAGCAGACAAAGTGATATGTCCAGTAACTGTCCTCAAAGAGTATGTGGCAAGGACGCTACCTTTAAGAAAGAACAACTTCCAACTACTTCTGAGTTACCAGAAACCACATAAACCAGTTTCATCAGAAAACATTGGCAAGTGGATCAAAAAGACTTTAACTAAAGCAGGCATAGACATTAAGGTATTTGGTGCTCACAGCACAAGATCAGCGTCTACATCTGCAGTGAAAGTTGGTAACATGCCAATTAGTATGGTGTCCCATGTCCGCCAAAAATCAACTTTTGCATTTCACTATAATATATGATATTTTGAGGATCATAACTTATTTTTTGAAGACCAACTTTTGAAGACCAACTTTTGAAGACCAACTTTTGATACCGAACCGCAATCCAATGTCTTTGTTGTTCGCGGGCTCATTTATTATGTTTTCAAAAATGGAGGAAGAAGACAAACAATACTTGCTACAGGCGATTTTTGATGTGATAAATTCCATCGACCGTTTTTCACAGTCTCGAGACGCTAATGTAGACTACATAAGAGCTTATGCTGAAACTTGATTTTTTACAACGGTTGCTAGTAAATATGAATCTTGATTATTCGATATGTGCAAACGTTAGAGAGGCATATAACATTCTTTTCAATATGGAACAAATGGAATACCAATGCAGACAATAAGATATCCGAAGGAGGTAGGGGGGTTAACTTCTAATTTTCTCCGTGGGGGTGGTATGGATGTTTTCTGGAATGACCCATTGATAAACAGAGAAAAACAGGATAATGTATTGTCCTAGAACATAGATATCCTAATATATTACATACAGTCAGGTTTTAGCAGTGCCGTAGCAAGCTTGATAATTGGGGGGCTGATATTCATATATTTGTGTTCACAGACCATAAAAACAATGGATTTCTAAAGAAATTAATAACACAGAACAGGGCTGCATAAAATATTTTATTTTCTGGGACCACAAAGCCAACAAAAATATTTTCTGCAGGCAAACACTGGGAATCTTTGTTTAAATTTGATCATCACTAAACAAGGTTCAGTGTATTCTATGCACCATTTCATTAGATATGAAACCAGAATAGACGTATTTTACCCTGCTAGCAGTGGTTTCTAGCTGAGCTGAAACCACTGCGAGCAAACGAACGATCGTTTCATTGTAGCCGCCGTCCAGATTCATGGACGAATACATTAAATGAGAAACCAGTAAAACAAGTTTGACAAGTTTTTGTTATTGTTCGCATGGGTAACTGCTTGGCACTGCTGGTAAAATGCGAGCCAGTTCCACTAAAACAACACGATCACGCTCTAAATATAGTAACAAGCCATAAATGTACTACCTTTTACAAAATATTATAACTTTACAAAATATTGAATTACAAAATATTGAATAAAATTTATTATACAGTTCAAGAGAGTAACTATAAATTCACACACTGCAACAAAAATCAACACCTTTAACAGAAATAATAGCGCCGTCGTGACGATCTTTCATCAGTTTAAATTTGTAGCGGTTGAGGTCGCGACGATCAAAAATTGCAATATTGTCAAAATCAACCGTAATTGGAAACATTATATTATTTGGAAACTTTGGAAATTGGAATTTATCGAAAACCTTAACACAAATAAAGTTTGCAGACCGAATTAAAAAAATTGATATTGATCAGATAAATACAAAAATTGAAAAAGATATAACAGAAATTCAAATGCACAATTTGTAGCCGTAGGGCGAGGCACCGATTTCAAAATCTTTGAGAAGTAAATTGTGAACTGCATGTAGAATAAAAAGTCAGACAGATAACAAAGAAAACAGCACTATGCCACGCTTGTTTACGTACAGATAACAAACTGTCAAACTACAGCAAAGGAAGTCAAATTAGTGTCGTCCCACCCTGTGATCTTCGTGCATGCTCGATAGAAAGTCGTTTGTTTGCTCGCAGTGGTTTCTCCTCAGCTCCGAAACCACTGCCAGCAGGGTAGACGTATTTCAACATGGCTACGGAATAAATATTCTTTACATTTTAATTTAACAGCAAACATTTACATTTTAATGAATGATGAAAGTGACCAATGGGAACTGTCTCCAGTTTAAGATTCTAGATTCTTATAATTTTAATATATTTGTTATGAATATCATCTTAATTTAATGGATGCATGAAAGTTCATGAGAAGGGCGGAAGGCTGTTGTGTATTGGCCCATATTGCTTAGATTTTTTACTACATTGTAAGAAATCACCACACTCATAGACTTTTTAATCCACATAATGTAGTTGTTAAATGAGTTGTATTCATATATAACTGGAGTGGTATTTTCAGAAGTAGCTAATACACTAGATGAAATCAATTATAACCGCATAGAGGATTTCATCTTAATATCTGCTAGACTGCTGTCTGCCATAATATCAGGCTTTGACCATAGTATCAGGCAGCTGGAGAGCCGCCTGTACCGGTATATTGGAAACTTGTATTACTTGCATGTTGCAAACATCACTATAGTTCACTACCTACAGCTTTTTATTCAATTATGTCATTTTTTCTCATTTTCTTCCTTTTTTTCTTTCTCTTTACTTTTTTTCTTTTGAGACTTTTAAGTTTTACCCTCCATTTTTTTTCTGCCAACCTCAAAAATTTTCTGGGACCAATGGTCCCGCGGTCCGCTATATTATGCAGGCCTGACACAGAACACGAATATATGAATATCAGCCCCCCCCCCAATTATCGAGCTTGCTACGGCACTGTTTAGGTGTCCAAATGGTACACAGGACATTAAAAACCTGCACAAGCTTTCCCCCTGCCCCCCCCCCCTAAAAGTTGATGTCTGCTGCCACTGCTCGAAATATGTTCTCCTTTTGGAGGATGTGAAGGAGTGGATATTAAAGTTATAAATGTTTATGTAATCTACTCCTTCACATCCTACAAAAGGAGAAAATCGCAACTAAAATTGCAGCAACAAATGGCAACAATACAACAACTTACTGTGTAATGTTAGAAAATGGAGGGTATTCTGCAATCTAACCTGATCAAAAGTAAAATACGAGCTGCCAACACCAAGTCATAAATAATAAACTATTAATACATGTCATGTACATTGTACAGTATATGAATAATTCATATTCTTGAATTTACATCAGCCTGCACAAAATGGATAAGGAAAATAAAACACTGAATATATAAAAAGTTTAGTTACTCAGACAGAGATGATTTTAGCGGAAAATCACAATATGAGCCCGCGAACAACAAAGACATTGGATTGCGGTTGGGTATCAAAAGTTGGTCGTCAAAAAATAAGTTGTGTTTTCAACCGATAAACCGATGATCTTCAAAAACAATGTTGTTATTTTAATGAAATGAATATGATCCTCAAAATATCATATAGTGAAATGCAAAAGTTGGTTTTTGGCGGACATGGGACACCATAAATTAGTACCATTATGGACGCAGCTGGGTGGTCGAACACGAAAACATTACAACAATAAATTTTATGACGTTGATTAAGCATGCATCGTGTTGATATTTGTTGTTATTAAAAAAGCAAAGTTACAGTGCTCATGGTCATTACTTTAAAGGCTCACACGTGACTCCGTTGCGAATTAACCAATGACGAAGTAGAATTAGAAAATTAAACGAGAATTACCTGTAAGGTGAAGTTTGATTGAGATTCTACGAGTTATTGGTTAGGAGCGAAGGAGTCACGGACCCACCCTACGGTTTTACCCAGTCTTACGGCTTTACAGCGGGTACTAAATATCAATGACTATTCGCACTCCCTTTAAAGACTGCCGCTCGATCCTTCCCGCGCTATCTCACACGTGACTCCTTCGCTCCTAACCAATAACTCGTAGAATCTCAATCAAACTTCACCTTACAGGTAAGTCTCGTTTAATTTTCTAATCAACACATCATTCAAATTGTATCCAAGGCAAATAAAATGCTGGGTTTATTACGGAGAACGTGCCCCTTGTTAACAGATCGCGTTGCTCGAAGGACATTATACTTATCCTTAGTGAAATCCCAACTGGGTTATGCTACAGAAGTCTGGTCACCGGCTCAGTCCACCAACGAAACCTACCTAGAGAGGACTCAAAGGCGTGCCACACGATGGATCCTTCAAGTAAAGATAGGAGAGGTTTCATACAAAGATCGTTTGTTGGCCCTTCTTAATCTTCTGCCGCTATCTTACGATAGAGAGATAAAGGACTTAACATTCTTTTTTAAAGCTATGTACGGATATTATGATTTGAATATTTCTGATTACGTGTCATTCGTAAGCCACAGCTGTACCCATAATTGTGTAAATCCTAGCCTAATGCTCAAAGTACCTTTGCGCAAAACAAGTACATTCCAGTCATCGTACTTTAATCGTATCGTTCCCCTTTGGAACCGTATGTGTAGAGCTGCTAAACCTTCAGACTTAATTAGCCTAATAGTAGTATACAAAGTGGGGGTTCTGGGACGGGTGGAGTGGGTGAAGTTGAGTATGATATCGAGAATTACCAAGACCGAGGCCTTGATAATTTTCGCCATACGAAAACCGAATTCAATAATTGTTTTATTATATATTCAAAAGGTAGAAAGAAAGAAAGCAAAGGCATTTTGTTTACGCTTTTAAAAAGATAGAATTTTCCCGCGCTTTTTAGCAAACAACGGACCGTGCCGGGGCCAACCTCGTACGCCGCAGGGCTTGGTAACCACAGCATGCAATAATAATTTTTTGGACCGAACTTCGGTCCAAAAAAGTATTAGCCTATTGCACGCTGATGGCGTCAGCAGCTGAAATAACACGACGGCTTCGACATATACCAAGAATTATCCGGCGCGTTGACCATGCAATCACGAACGAGAATATAGACTTTGAATATATAATACAACTTGTTACCCAATGTCTTCCCCACATATCTGACTAATTTCTCTCACTATATTTGCATAACCACTAAGACCACTGACCTTCTCATTAGCAGAACATTCAGCTAACGTTATTAATTAAAGGATTGAAATGAAACTTTCAGTTTAAATTACTATTTCTATTAAGAAACGTATTTTCAATATACACTTTAATTATCGACTCTGTATTTTAATGATAAATCAAGTTTTAATGATAAGTAAAGTTTCCTCACTAATGATTCGGTACGAGACGGCATTACTCACTGAATCAGTATCATGTATAGCTTATATCGTATACTCTTGCGTCTCAAAATTTGCTGTCAACTTTGCATGCAAGGCTGATAAGCATGCAGCACTCAGAAGAAGGATGGAATTGCGTTTCTTTTCCAGCTAATTGTTCTGTGCTTGCATGGAAGCTATAGGTCAGTATAATTTCGGATTTTTATGGATATATAGCTACTGAATGCTTATTTTTGCAGCAATATTTTTTGTGTATCTTTACACTCCTTTATGTGCATGTGCATGAAACACCTCACGGCATATCTCACTGAAGCTCAGTTATAGCATACATGCATGATTGCATGAGGAATTGCTATATCGCAATATTTTGAGGAATACAACTAAAAAGTGCATGAATGTTTTTGTTTTGGATTCGATTTAGTTTAACTTAATATAATCATGCAACGAAACAACGAAGTATATTTCACTTTTTTGGCATATTTACATAATTATAATAGATGCGTATAGGACACTCCTATATATCCTTCCCGCTGTGTTATATAGCTGGTTTGTGGTTTGAAATTTTTGTCATGGGGACGTTATAATCATGCATATACAGTATCAACTTTGTGTACTGGGTGTATAAAAAAAAACGCAACCTCGGAATTTCCTAAGAAATTACTTTGCAATTCTTAAGCATAAAAGATTTTAGGCCCCTCATGGGAATTGAAATCGCATTGCTAATAGATCATATTACTGTTGTTGTGCATTAAATAAACGCTTTGCTTTATGCACTCGCGTGTGCAGTAATTTTGACAGTTGTGCTATTTTAAATTCCCAGGCGCCTATAATCTTGGCATATTGTAAACACTGGACTGGACTTTGGACTGGACTTTGGACTTTGGACTATGGACTTTGGACTTTGGACTTTGGACTTTCGATTTTGAAATTATATTATTTTTTTAGATTTTCGTATAATTATATTAAAATCTAAACAGAGAACGAAAATTTGCTGCTGAAAAGCGTGCTACACTGCATGCACATGCATGATATAATAATATACAAGGTAAAAAATCTCTAGTATCAGTTATATAGGTATACCAGCAGTGCAATTTCATACGGATATAGCCTGTAGGATAGCAGGATTATCCAATACTTTGGGATTTAATATTTACATTTTATATAATATTTGTATTTATAGTATGCATATAGTACAGTATATACTGCAGAACTTCTTCTTTATCATATACTAATAGATTAATTGTCAGAAACAATTGTGACAAAAGTGTCTCGGCAAATACAAAATATTAACTATACAAGTGATTATTATCGCGCCTATTGAGTATTGAGTATTGTGACTGTTCATCTTTGCATAATAGTTTATACTAGTACTGCAGTATTGTGTAATTGTTTACTCCGTTACACAGTAACGTTTTGTTAATGTTACTTATTTTTGAAAGACATTCTAGTTAGCTATCCATATCACTATAAGACTAAGTGCATCAGTTATTATTAATAAGTGTTAGTAGATGGACAGGAATATTCGACTAACGGAAATTTACACACTTTTTAAGACCTACTCAGTTGTGTGTGAGAAGGCAAAAATCTATGTCTATGTGGTTCAGGTAGTCTAGCAACTATTTGCCACGTTTACTGTAATACTACCACTTGCAAGTGATGAACCAGGCGGGAATCGCAATCGTAGTATAAAGATTAATGCTCAGCCGCATAACGTACGCAAAAGAGCCATATATAGACAATAATATAGACATAAATATATACATAAAGTAATACTAATTACTATAGATTATCATAAAGTAGTCAGTACTACCAATTATATAATAATGTATCATACATTCGTATTTTATAAAGTATATGATGACTATGAGAGTTTTCGTGTTCACTATGGCTGAATACATTTATGAAAAGCTAAAACTGACACAGACAAAATACATTGTAAACACAGCCTATTTAGGCAGGCGCTAAACCGGTGTAAACTATTATGCAAAGATGAACAATATACCGTCAATAGTATTTTTGCGCAAGTGAATAAATAGTACAACAAATCCTACAAGTTGTCAAGTTGATTGGTCAAATTTGACAAATTCCCTAGCCTCCTTCGCAGACATCAGAGAGAACGTACACAACTGGCGCCTGCGAGGGAGACTACAAATTCCCGGATAATCACGGCCTCGCGCCTTCGGCGAATAATTGTTCAAAGCCAAAGGCGCAATAATAATCGCGTGTAGTTTATACTTATACGTGATAGTTTCTCAATATTTTGTATTTGCCATAGGCGTACCGGGCGGGGGGGCGGGGGGGGCGGCAGCCCCCCCAGTTTTTTGGGCAGTCGGGCAATATTCGATCAACAGTCGGGCAATTTTGGTTTACAATAAAAAAAAAATGGGACAAATTCTGTCAATTTTGTCTAAAATTAAGTCAATTTTTGGGCAAATTTTGCGATTTTTCGAAAATGTGTGTTATGTTCCGAAAAATATTGGTTGTCCGGAAAATTTTTTTGACCCCTAAAATGGTACACTGACCGAAATTTTTTTGGCGACGGGGGGGGGGTGAGGTCGCCAAAATAATTTTTCCGGAAAAATTTTTTGGTACTAGTCGGGCAGAATCCCGAAAAGTCGGGCAATTTTCTTTCCGCCCCCCTAATTTTTTCCTTCCGGTACGCCCATGGTATTTGCCAAGCTACTTTTGTCGCAATTGTTTCTATAAATCTATTATATATACGATAAAGAAGAAGTTCTGCAGTATAAACTGTACTATACATACTATAAATACAAATATTATAATAAAATTTAAATATTATTAACTTAAAAATATTACTGAGATGATCCTGTTATCCCACAGGCTATATCTATGAAATTGCACTGGTATACCTATATAACTGACAGTATTTTTTACCTTTTACCGAATATTGTATCATGCACAAATTTTCGTTTTCTGTTTAGATTTTGATTAATATAATTATACGAATATTTTAAAAATATAATTTCAAAATCGAAAGTCGAAAGTCCAAAGTCCAAAGTCCAAAGTCCATAGTCCAAAGTCCAAAGTCCATAGTCCAAAGTCCAGTCCAGTGTTTACAATATGCCCTATAATCTTTTGTCTTTAAAACAATGTCGATTTCTTGGGAAATTCCGAGGTTGCGTTTTTTTTAACACCCTGTACCAAAAAAAGCATAACCTCGGAATTTCCCAAGAAATCGACATTGTTTTAAAGACAAAAGATTTAAGGCGTCTGGGAATTTAAAATAGCATATAACTGTCAAAATTACTGCACACGCGAGTGCATAAAGCAAAATTTATGCATTTATTTAATGCACAACAACAGTAATATGATCTATTAGCAATTCGATTTCAATTCCCAGGGGCCTAAAATCTTTTATGCTTAAGATTGCAAAGTGATTTCTTAGGAAATTCCGAGGTTGCGTTTTTATTGATACACCCTGTATACTATCAGCTATACCAGTCATATATATATATAGACAGTACACTGATAAAGCGCTAGCTGATATATATAACCTACTGCATGTCAGCATGCAGGCAGAATAACTATAATTCTATAGTGTTGTATTAACAGTAATTTCATTTAAGAGTAGAAGACATATACTTTGTTGTATTTTTGTTTGCTGGTTTTGTGATGGTTTAGCCGCATTATAGGATATAATATAAAGGTTTAGAAAGGGTTAGCAGTATTTTTGTATTATCCTCTCCTATATATATACGTCTCAGTGTACAATAAAAACTAGAACGCATTTCAAAATAGTGCGTGCTTAGAGGATTCTAAATTTATGAAGGCAGGTACATGCATGATGAACGGCCGAATCGTCTGTTTCCATATATAATCAAAACGGACCGCGTGAAGGCTAGTTTCCATGCACTCAGGAAAATGATCCGTGGATTGGAACGGACAAGGAAATTGTTCTTTGTCTTGTGAGCTCTGGGTTGGAACTAATGACTTTAACACAAAGAAAAATTTTCTTTTCCGTTCCAATCCACGGATCATTTTCCTGAGTGGAAATTAGCCTTGAATCGAACTTAGGATCTGTCTTTGGTTTACAAGCCATGCACTCCTATATATAATATGTAAAAAATTAAATAAGAATAGAAACATGAAAGACAATAAAATACGTTGTGTCAATAATTTTCTCTCACCTGATTAATAACAGTACTTTAGCACGTGCTTTTGCGGCTTTCTATCTAATGATGCGCTAATCACTGACAACATATTCCTGTGGATATACAGGGTGTATAAAAAAAACGCAACCTCGGAATTTCCCAAGAAATCGACATTGTTTTAAAGACAAAAGATTTTAGGCGCCTGGGAATTTAAAATAGCATATATAACTGTCAAAATTACTGCACACGCGAGTGCATAAAGCAAAATTTATGCATTTATTTAATAAATGCACAACAACAGTAATATGATCTATTAGCAATTCGATTTCAATTCCCAGAGGCCTAAAATATTTTATGCTTAAGAATTGCAAAATTGTATGCAAGTTTGACTACCTATAACACCTGTCATGCATTCGTCTATTGTCCGTGCAAACCATGCATGCAGTCTAATCATAATTGTAAAACAGTGCATGTTTATTGCTACTCAAAGTTTCATGCAGTTTTGCAATCTTCAGGCAATTGCATAAAACTTTGTGTAGCACCAAATAAAGTTTTAAGATTAAATAGATATTGGTTGATTGGTTCTATACCAAAAAATATTGTGTTGAGCACTCTTCAATCTACTACAATCACTATAAACATTGTTATATTACACAGGGTGTATAGAAAATACTACACAGTTCGAAAATGTCCGCCGCTATAAACTGCAAATTCCGCACAATTTGTGAAAACCTTATGCAAGCATGGATAGTTTGGGGTCTGCTAGTTAATACTTCACGAGTGCGGGAGGATTGTTTTTAAAAACCACTCTAAAAATGGCTTATGCACAAAAATGGAAATTGAATTCCTACGGTGCAAATTTGGAAGGTGGTTTATGAACTATACTAGAAAAAAAAATGCATGTAGAAACCCTCGCCTTGCTGACACAACCATTGTATTTTCCGAACATGAAGTATTTAAAGTAGTTGTCATGGTAACGCCACATAATTTTATTAAGAATATTTTTACAATTGAAAAATCCTCAAAAAATATCACTTATTACAATATACATGTTAGTTATGTTATTATATGTAAAATAAGCTTCAATTTAGTGTAACTGAAATTCAATCACAAACGCTTCGCAAAACGTTTTTAATAAATGTTCTTTATATAAATTGCCCTTATCGATAAACTTTTTTAAACTTGAATTCTCGCATGCAAATAATTTGCTTTCTTTTTTATTTAAAAATTTTAATATAATAAAAAGGGTATAATCGATAGTAAAGATACACTGAAATTGTATGCTGCATGTCATTTTCATTAAAAATTATATGCAACGATCAGCTTTTAAAGCAATTTATATAGCAAACAATATATTTTACAAATTTACAAAATCTTGCAAAATGAAATATATTTCCAAGAAATCATCAAATCAAGAAATGTTTGCTATTTCGCTATCGTCATACAGTGTTATAACGCAAATTTTAAATTCACCAATCAGTGTTCGCTGTAAACCAAGAAATGTTTGCTATTAATATAATTTCGCTGTTTTTTCCCCCACCCGTTCAACGCCTCGTCAGCAAAGTTTGGTACACGTGTAGATAAATGATATATTCGTATTTATAAACATGAGCGTGCTTTCACCAAGCGCATGTGGTACAACACGAATGCATCGACGCATCTAGACATGCGCAGAGTGTAATGGGGCCAGAGTGCTCAAACGACCACAATGGGAAGTGAGCTTTGCATAATATATATGTATATATATATATATATATATATATATATATATATATATATATATATATATATATATATATATATATATATATATATATATATATATATATATATATATATATATATATATATATATATATATATATATATATATATATATATATATATATATATATATTATATATATATATATATATATATATATATATATATATATATATATATATATATATATATATATATATATATATATATATGTATATGTAACTCAAGTTTGTCGTTTATTTGCTCTACTTTTGTATCGAGCACTCTATTCTTATGATTCGACACTCAATTTACTTATTGACATTCGCCTATATATATATATCTATATATATATATATATATATATATATATATATATATATATATATATATATATATATATATATATATATATA